TATTATTCTACATCTACATGTCAAACTCAGTTTTATTCAATCCCTTACTGATATGATGTACGTATACTTGTTTTATTTCGGGTTTTTTAGGATGTAGGTAGCTGAGGAGAATCCACAACATAAATGAATCCGTGTTATCCTGCTACAATTCATGTTGTTTCTTTATTTGAAAATAGAAATCAGATAAGCAACTGAAGATGTACAAAACTATAATAAACACTCCACAATTGGAACATCTAGAGATCATAAGACCGTCAAATCTATTCATCTGAGCCGCCAATCTCCAACATAACGACTTTTAGATGGACTAGTAAATTGGGTCATGATGTCAATGGTGCGGAAAACTGAATAATCTTCACTCCGGAAATTCATCTGTTCAACATACTTCACTATTGTATAGTTCGTTTCCTATTGCTTGATAGTGAAATGATGTGCCAGTGGGATAATTTTGAATATCCTGGTTATCCAGAATAATAACTTATTTGACAGTGTTGGTCGTGCGGTGACGAAACCTAAGAACTAAACCAGAGATGTGACCACTCTGTAGCGATCACCTCAAAGATGAATCACACAGAAACAACAACGGGAAGCTACTTCCCACGCTCACTTACGCACCGGATTGTCATCAGCCGATTGACAGGGAAGATGAATCATTAGAATTTTCATACAATCCTTCCATGTATAGATTTGATTAATGAAAGAACAATGGGCTATTTAATTTTTTCAGTAATTAACAAGATGGTCTCAAAGTTTTTAGCAGATGAGGAAAATTCACGGAATAGATGAATTTATATTATTCTGCTACGATCTTTCCTGTTTCACATTTCTAATCGGGGAAAATCGTATGAGACCCCTACCTTTCAGCTTTTTAACGAACAATTACCCAAACTATTTGATTTAATAAGCTTAAGATCATTCAGCTGACTTTTTGGACGTATACTTTCATGTGACGATTAGTATTTAATATGTTGATGATTTAGCGGAAACCGTTCACTTAGTGGAGGTGAGGTATGGGCTAGTTATATCCACACAAGTAGTATATAACGATGGTCAGGAATAGAATGTATTTCACGAGAAGATCAATAAGGAAAGTACGGGAACGAAACGCAATCGGTATCAAAATGCATGAACAATAATAATTGAAGATGATGGACTAAGATTTGCAGACGGAATGGTCAAGATTGAGACAATTAATTGATAGTTTGCAAATTAACTGTTTTCTGTATGATTGTCAGATCTGAGTGAGATAGTCTGTAATTTTCGTGTCAGATACATTCGATTGTTTCCAATTGTGTTCTCATTCACTACAGAGGTACAAGGTTAAGTAACAACTGCATTCACCATCCAACCAGTGTGTTGGTTATAATTTTAATACTTATAAGTCAACAATACATAGCAAATCCTTTTGGACAGCTACATATGACCAACCGCATGGGATAAGAAAATTATTATTCAATGAGCGACTTTTGAACATAAAAGCTCCACGAGACAGGTAAGAATTTCTTCAGAAAAAACTAACGACTGGAGCTTACATAATTTTCGACATTCAAATAATTTTGATATCTCTGTGAACAAAGACAAAAGGAATATCTGTCCCACGAGGTAAACCATATGCAGTAGCGTGATTAGAACAGGGAACCTATTACTTTCTAAACTTAGGTTGACGAGACAGGAAATAAAGACACAAAATGTGGTACAAGTTGCCACCCAACATACATGTGCCACACACAAAACATTGTGAACAAATAAGATAATAAGTGCAGAATACATGATAGAAGATACAGTTACGAATACGATCAAAACATTTTTAAGTAAAGCGGAGAATGTAAAAAAAAATACATGACTGTAATTAGCTTTTATTTTAACACACATTTGATAACGCCTTTCCATCCAGTCCAAACATTGACAAATAATACATGAATTCGAAGTCACTGGATTGATGTCCGTAAACCATAACCTGACAATCGAAACAGATGTTTCAAAATTGTGAGGTCAGTCAGGTTATCACCAATTCTTGCAAACACACATGGTCGAACTCCGGCATTACTGACATAGCGTTGCCACCGGGTGGCATCATTACTTTGGTGACGACCGAACAGTCACCCAGCATCCTCCTGTCATCGACGTATTGTGAACCCTGCTTCTCACAATCAGGCTGAAATAAGAACGACGCTGAGGTTGACCTAGATTAACATAGACCACTTTGGATAATTTGGAAAAACCACCATGACTTCCAACTATTTCTTAAGGGTCACCAGAAGCGTGACTTAACATTTAGAAAGGTCCCTAAACTAATGAGCCACAGCTGGTTGATAATGTGACCTGGTAAAACTTTGAGTTATTCAAGCAATCCCACGATAAAATTCTTCTTGATATAAATTTACTCACTAATAATTGGTCAAGTTATTTTACCCCACGGTACGTATCTTATTAGATACATTACTGGAAAGATGCCAGTTTAGGATCGAAACACAAAAAGCTGATGCATTGACGTGGTGCGGGAGCAAGAAACCTTGAAATCACAAATGATGTAACTTTGGGATGCAAACAAGGACTTTACCTACTACTAACTAGTGACAGCGTTACTGCTCAGAAAGTGGTCTACATGAAATTCGACACTGGTTTACCATAATCTTATATCACGGAGCATTCTCTCCATGCTTTGATATGCTACGTATATCAATACTTTATTTCATGTAATCACATCTTTAAACTGCTGACCGCAAAACGACTGATTGCCCATAATAATCGAAGCCTATTTTGAAGTCTCATGACCGGTTTGTGGTCATAGTAACCTGAAATTATTTCAAACTGTTACATTGTTGATTTGAGCATTGGTCCGCCTCGATATCTCGACTGCATATCAGTAGATATCCAATGAATAAATACAGCTACCAGCGCATCAGTGTCAACACCATAATTTTGCTAAATACGTTGGGGAAAGGAAAAAAACACCAGTTGCTCAGATAGACGTTTTGTTCTTACTTGTTTTTAAAAAAGCCGGATAAAGTACCATATATTGGTGTAGATAGAAGCTGAATTAATAAACATTTAATTTTCATCAGAAATACTTCTGATAGAATCGATTAACATGTATAAAACCCAGAATCCAGTTTCAAGATTGTGACATTAATCAGATTAACGTCAGTGTATGGACACACTACTTGAAGCTAGCACTAACCACACGCCGTTAATATTAAGTGAACAAACTTCCGCAGACAGATAATTGACCACAGTCACCCGAAATCCTGAGCTCGAATGGCAGTTTTCGTAAACAGATAACACAATTCCTTTCATTGACGTGCCGCTTACTCGGAATTTTACGGCCACATTTCATATCCATTCTGTAAGGGTGATCATATTTATAAACGTGTGAATCAAAAGAAATAGGATGTTTAAGGATGTAAAATCTGGTCAGTTTACAATTTTTCCTTTTGCTTCTATGAAGAATTCAAAACAAAGAGAACTGTAAAAAGAATTACCTGGTGCGTAACAGTGAACCAGATCAGAAAAACTTCAATACTTTCTACAGTTGGGAGTTTGGAATTGTCGGAGCAGTGTCCTCATTGAGCCAAAGTGAAAAACGGTAAACTGACCAAGTTTCACGCCCTTCTTCTTTCGCTGCTCCCCTTAATTTATATGGGTCTTTCTGATGGTCTCCCTTCTTCTCGGGTCCTTATGAATAGATACAGATTTTACAGCTGGACTAATAACACGACGATACCAAAGATACCCCCAGATTAGTACAAGTCGATCTGGCTTCTAGTATACATAGATTGCCCTTACTTTTGTGCGTTCAGGACATTTTAATCACCCAAAATTCTGAGCACTCCACCAACACGGTGAAAGCATTCCATTATGTTACTGCATTTCCTGAGTAACGGGTCGCATAAGTGACGAATATGAGAAATAACAATATATTCTTCTACCTGTAACAACCCCACCACTTGTTAATCTACTCGGAGATTACACTTGGAACGGATTTCCTACTTAAGACTAACCACCCGAATCCATTTATGTGTAACGGCAAGTAAGGTAAAATTTATTACTTGAATTTCTTTTTTTTGGATCTGAATTAGAAATATTTCACAATAAAATAAAATTACAACAAGGAGATAAGTATCAAAGTTTTTCAAATGTCATTCATCATGAGAGATCCTAAAACTGGCAACCATAGAACCCATTTAATTGAATTGTGTTCATAGTATCATCAAAGTAATGTGAATAATCACAATGCAACCCTTTTATATTAACTAAAGGTGCGGGAGGGAGAGAGGATATATGATGCAATGAACCAAATCAACTACAAACGAGAATCTACATAAACGGTATAATAATAACCTATAATATTGCACAAATGATGAGCCTAACTAACCTAACCAGACATATAAATAAATAAATAAAGGCATATAATAAATAATAAAACACATTTATATATAGTAAAACATCTTAGGATTACGTAGGACATTTAGGATATGTGATCATAATAGAAATGATTATATAAATTATGATTATAGAAATGATTATATATAAGCACATATAAAAAGTAAAAACTTTAGAAATGGTTGGCCTCATCATGAAACATGAATGAATTTTAATGATCAGGAAACATGATACCATTAATATAACTTAATGAGACCTGATTCATTAAATAGAAATACAACATAAATATATATATATATGTATATACTATATATGCTAAATAGTGGAAAGAACAAAAGGAACAAATTATGTATTATTTAAACTTTATAAAATATATATGAAGGCTATTTTGCCACATAAAAATATTAAGATCTATTACAACCATTAAAAAAAAACATGATAGTTGTGACCATGATGAGATAATCATCTACATGACATACGTACGCGTGAGAGAGAAAAAAACCAACAAACATAATAACCACATACTCATTTGCAAGTGGCCATTAATAATAAGCTAAACATAATGAAACGTGGGTATTAAAAATATTGATGAAATACATTAGTTCGTTGTCGTAGGTTTAAGTTTCATTTCCGGTCACTTCCGATGAATTTGATGCACCATTGGATTCATTTTCTGGAAATTTAGCTGGATCAGATTTAGCATCCACTGAGTCACCTTTTGACTCGGGCTTTGCACAACCTTCAGCTTTCTCCATTTTTGAAAGAATATCTAATTCATCCTCTTTTTCTCCATTAGAACCGCCACCAGGTTTTTCATTTCGCTGACCATTTATAGCCGACGATCCATGATTTCCGGGCATCAAAGGAGGTGCAGGATAGCGTATCAGCGAAATGCCAGCTCTGTCATCCGATATAGGTTTCGGACTAAAAGCAATTTTTAGATGAAAAGGATGGGCGTATCCAGATAAATGAACTGGTCGGTGATTTGCTAAAATGAGGGCCTCAAGAGCTTCAGTTAACGTATCCCATTCTACCAATCCTGTCCAAGAGAAATAAAAACTTATATTCAGTTATTTTTTCATATTGGATATTTAGAAAAGTTCAAACTTAACGGTTTTAAGCAGCTTGACTAAGTGATAGACGTTTTTCGTCAGCAATCACTTTAAGAGAACACTTTAACGTACAAAAACTGGAATTCACTACAAGGATATATACGGGGGTCAGGTGGATGTGGAGACAAACTACTGTTCATATAATCAAATCTTAACCACTATGAACAACAATACAGACATGTCAAAGGCCATAACAAGGATTTTGATGTCGAAGTAATCACTGAAAACAGTCATCTGAAATGAGTAGTCGCCAGTTATATGTAGCAAAATATTGTAAGGATAGGTATTTGCAGTCGCATTTAGCATACCTTATGAAGTTTCTGCCGGCTGTTACAAACACAGTTATACGTTACTTACACAGAAAAATTCGCTTTATCCTGTTTATATTCTTTCTATTCAGCAATCAAAGGATATAAACTAGTATTTTACATTATAGTGAACTAAACGCAAACAGGAAATTTTTGGAACTGAACAAGAGAGCAAAGATACAATTCATAGTGCTGATTACATGTCCACCACACAGTGGAAAAAGTATGAAGATACTAACAGAAGTTCATTATCAAGTACAGATCAGTGAATTTTCAGCTCCTCGTGAGAACAAAAGACGATAACAAACTTCGTGTTTTGACGACTTAATTATTATCCTGAGGATCGGCAAAAAGCTACTTATTTTAGAGTCGACTAACGGGTAGTAGTGTTGTCCGTACAGGTGTAATCAGTATAGCAGTTGTAATATATTCGACATAAGTTAAACGTATAACCATGTACAGAGAAATCTAATCACTGAGATGAAGAAAAAACACTATTAACTAAGCTTGTGTTCAGAATTATTGATAAATAACTGGTCGGTAGGAATATATATACTAAATGTTCAGTCAACCATTATCAGGACTTACCAAGAGAAGTTTTTTGACCTGCTTTGGAAGTAAATATTACAACTCGGGGTGGAGGTGTAGCACCACAATCTGAGAACACTCGACAAATGTCATCTGGACTGAAATTAAGCGGGGCATTGAAGAAATGAAGGGTGCGAGAAGGTTCTAGTATCCTACTCTTGGCAGCCACCATTGAGTTTCGAAAGCGGTTGTTGGGGTCCGCTATAACGCAAAAGAAAGTCCATTAAACTCATTTCAAGAGAAACCAAAAGCCTGTACAGTAAACAATCAATGGAAAACTTACATTTATTCTGAATCAAAACTATGAAGTCGATAAAGTTGGAGCTTATACAATGGGACAAGTAGAAAAAAATTACTGATTGGCATACATTTTACACCACAGAATGACAGCTGAGGACAATTAAACTTGTCTGAATGAATAAGCACAAAGAAGTTACAAAATAAACGATACTTGCACTGTCAGTACACAGGAGCTAAGGTTGAGTTGTCGGCCTCCTGAAGACCAATACCGTGCTTCGATATCCTCACGGTCATATGCAATATAGGACATGATGCATGCGCCCACAAACGCCATGTTACGACCGAGGGTGTGGAGTCTCCTCTCCTCGACATGCTTTCACACGATCACTTGCATATAACCACTACCACGGAAGTCTTACTCACTGTCTTTTCGCAGCATTACTCTTGTTTACCGAATTGAGAACACGGAAACAGAATGTTCACAAGGTTGGTGAATTTAGAAAATTTACCTAGGAAAGTTGGAAAACCCTGATTCAAAACCAATGGGCACATGGGTTCCAGGATCCTTAGGGAACGAATGGCGTGAGCCTATTGGTCGTTACCAGTTGCCATGATATTACATCTTATGTTGACGACTGTCTTGTGGATCAAACCTTTAAATCAAAGGCTTGAGGATTGGCACCTTGAGAAAATTACCTGATTTGGTTTTGGCAAACAGGCAGTATCCCAGCCTTCACACAAAACGAATGATTTGTGTGGTGCATATGCATTCGGTTCCCCTTTGTACCAAAATTTGTGTTCAAAGAAATAAATAAATGGTCGACATCTTCGCAGTCATACACAACATAACAAATGATGCACGTGTATATAGGTTTGGATTTTCATACCCCATTAGCTCAGTGAGACAGATTTGTCAGAGCCAATCCCAGATTAGCAGTATTAAAAAGATCAGACATCGAATTCGAGGAAATATATCTGTAATGTGGGAAGAATTAACAGGGAATCAATGAACCTAGGATCTAATTGCGTGGACCTCACCAGGGTAGTCTTAAAACAAATACATGACTCAGTTCAGTCGATATCTCTTAAGATTAAAGTACTTTTGTTAGTATTTTGAGTCTTTAAATATTATGAACAATAACAGATGTAGAATAGACTGACTACAGTTTTCAGGGAAGTAGTGCCAACTGACTTAAAATTGATAGTCCTGGTAAATGTGAAAACCGTTAGTGAAGATTTACTGACACTTGCCATCGCAAATCTGTGAAAGATTGACTTTGTGAGATACAATGTGTACATAGTATGAAAGAAATTGCCATGGGAACCAGCCTACACATAGGTCAGTCAGTAAGCCACAAACTTAACTATCAATGGTTAATTTTCCTAATAATGAAGTCCATGAGGACACATAGTTAGGCTTAGACCACTGACCGGAACGGTAAAAGAAAAACTTTTTATTTCAAATAAATTATAGAGATTTGATACACGAGTATTTGCAACTACGCAAATGAGAGCTGCTTATATTCAAGATGTTAGGCACGGATTTTTGTAACCATGAGCATAAACATGTGGAAAGTAAAAAGTTGGATAGCTCCAAAAACTAGTACTTTTAATCAAACACAATACTAATATATGGAATGCTCTAAGGTACAACAAAAACTTACTCATGTAGTTTTTCATAACTGGCGAACCATCAGCCAATGTCCCCAGATTTTCATGTTCCTTAAGCTCCGTAATCTTGCTGTGATGAAACTGGATAACTTGCCCAAACACACACACTCCACTGAAGTATCGATGTATGAGGTCACCTGTTTCTGGGTTTCCAACTTGAACCATTGCATAGCCAGGGCGTGTCTTCAGGAACTTAATCCGGGCGACATTACCATACAGACAAATCAAATTGAACAGATGATCACAATTCATGCGCTGTGGTATATTGCTGGCCATTAACACTACACCTTCAATAGCTTCAAAAACTGACAAATCCGATTGACGAGCAGCTGGAGTTGATACAGATAGATTTGATGTTGAATGGCCGATCCCAATCCCACTAGCATTTACTTGATGAACTGAAGGAGGGGTTGGAAGTATTATAATTTGTGATGGTGGTGTGAAACCAGTCGAAGCTTGTGGCCTGAGAGACTGGATACCAGCAGCCGGAATCATGTTAGGTTGCCAGTAACCTGGATATGGAGAAGCAAATGGTGTCCCTGCAGGAACGGCGCACGCCGAAGGAATAAGTGGGCCCATCCCATAGTAACCCATCGGTGTTTGGGAGGGGGGGTAGGGTTGTGCGCCATACACCGGAGAAACTTGTGGGAACGGGGCGGCTGCAGGAGGTGGTAGGATTGCAGGAGCTACGGCTGAGTTGGGAGGTTGAGCTAATGAACCAAGTAGCGTGCGCTGAGTGGAAGAATTGTTTAAAGGTCCTTCTAAATTGCCACTTGGACCGGTGAAATCCCAGGACTCACTATCGTTCTGAGTTACATGGACACGTTGAAGACGGGAATATGCAACCGTAAGGTTACAACAACCGGAATATATGTCAGCACCATCAAGCTGCTCTTTGGCTGCCCTAGCTTCTTCAACGTTTTCAAACTCAACAAGAGCTTCTAGTGAACGGTCAACATTCTTTTTCCCAATAAAAGTTCGTAGGATGTTCCCGTGGGGAGAACAGATTGCCTTTATTACATCGACAGTTATCGGGTATTCAGCGTTTGAGATATCCAAATGAAGAATGCGCGTAGGAGAATTGCTGTCCAGAGCTGAAGACTGTGACTGATGTTTGCGGTCAATCACAGGAGTAATAGTTTCGGAAGAAAATTCCAGCCTAACGCGATTCGGACCGACAAGAAAAGGGTTGATTTTTGCCATGTGTACAAGTCTAGTGGGGGGAGAAATTTCACAAAACTCAACGAGAGCAGCCCGACCACTGCACACCAGCTTAGCATTTTTAATCTGCCCGTATCTGCTGAAAAGACCAATCAAATCCCTTTCTGTACAACCTTCCGGGATGTCTGCAACAACAATAGTGCAGCTCGGTTGATTAGTAACTAGGTAAGAGATATCAGTTGCCAGCTGAAGGCTTCCCGGTACTGTTCCTGTAGTGTTGTAGAATTGAGCGGTAGCCGCGGCAAGAACATCATACCTTGACCGTTTTGCAGGATGCGCCATTTTCGACGGAAATCGATGTGGCCGCGGGGAATTGAAACATAAATTACTAAATGACTTTATTTGGTTAATCTCAGTAACTAAAGTCTAATATCTATCAAAAATTTTATAGTGACACATTAGTTTATGCAAAAAGGCATAGGCTTCAAAGGGTGCCATAATATGTAACTCATGAATATATCATGCATTTTGTGGTAATAAAAAAATATACTAATGTTGAACAGATTGTGTGCATTAACCCAACCCTTAAAAATCAAGTGGGGACACCTTAAACTAACGAGTGTAAAATATTTCGTTTGAAATTAGCATATTTTTCTAGTGCCAGTCCATTCCCAATATGGTTATCCCTTAAGCACACCTTTCCTAATTCACTTTTAGACCTCGGTCTCGACACACCCTCAAATAACTTTCCCGGCTTTTTGACAGTTCTTCCTTGCTTTCCTAATTCATCTTTTATTTTTCGGGTGCAGACATGTGTTGCCAATAATCAATATATCCAATATCTTTATGACGAGCTTGTGTAAACTGACTAATTTCTTTGCACTCTCTTGCTGTCGTTTCCGTACGGTTCCATAAAAATTTTGGTATTCAGTGTGAGGTGGTCTACCTACTTAATAACACTAATTCCAGTCAGCTTGGTAGTTATTTGTAGATCTGTATATCTTGTTATCAAGGTAAGTGTTTATATTTACCAAATTATTTTTTTCCATTTTTCCTCATTTCATATGCTTCAAAATTACTAGCTAGCCTCGACTTACAACTTTGATACTTACCGGATGAGCTTTATCCAAATATTTATCATTGTATCTTATACGTCTCTGAAAATATATTAGTTGATAATATGTACAACAGAACATAATAAATCCCTAGTACATCATCACTAGACACTTCGTAACCTGAAGACGCACTACCCCCATCAATATGTGCCTTTCCCATGTTAAAAAGTATCAGCGGGTTAAACATTGTCTTGACACGTGACATTCAATCAGTAGCTTCACATCACATATACGTGATTAGTACGTCGTGGGCAGACATCACAACAAAAGGAGTAGTTTTCACGGGGCCAATCTCTAGTAGAGATACCCTACACCGATTCGAAATCGTCCTAATATTCAGACGAGTGATGTTTATAACATATACTGACCGTCTATAACTTAAGTGACGATAAACACTTCCAAGTGTATTGTAATGCATATTGGCCACCAGGGTACAGATACATACACGATGAATAACACTGAGTTACCTATTGTTAAGGCACACAACGACTTAGGCGTCATCGTCAGTCAAGACTTAAAGACTACTGCACACTGCCGTGCAATAGCCGCCAAAGGTTTTACGACTTTATCGTCCATACGCAGGGCTTTTAGGCATCTTGACGCTAAAACGTTTTTTGACTTTGTATACAGTGTTCGTACGCCCTAAACTTGAGTACTGTATACAAGCAGCTAACCCCTGCCTAAAAAAGACAGTGAACTCTTGGAAAGGGTTCAGAGAACAGCAACTAGGCTGATTCCCGGAATAGCGAAGCTCCCGTATGGTACTAGACTGACCAAGCTAAACCTATTCCCGCTGTCATATAGAAGAATCAGAGGCGACTTGATTATAGTTTTCAAATTGCTTAATGACAAATTTGCACCTGATATACCCTCATTTTTTTTGTCTTCCAAAACAGAAAATCTACGAGGACACTCCAAAAAAGTTCACAAGCCCAGAACGAATTACTTGTCAGCTGACTACCGACTTTCCCATCGAATAATCAACGAGTGGAATTCATTACCTCAGCACATGGTTGAGGCTCCATCCGTCGACTCCTTCAAAAGAGAGTTGGATCGGCTGAGAGACCATCATTGCCAGGACTAACACAGGCCATCAAGTCTCCTGTCCTTTCCAAACTGAAACTGAAACTGACAGGCCGTCTCAATTGTTATCACTCATGAAACAACTGGTTAGGTCATACAAGATTGGTGAACAGATGTTGCACCAGATCTGGTTTTCGTGGCTACCGCATAAAATTTTTAACCCAAGTAAAACCTGTATTGTTAAATAATTCTTCAAAATTAATAGAACTAATACCATTCAACATTGATTCTAACCTTGTTAGGTCTAACTTACACTACTAACCAAGGGTGCCCGGTTAGCATCCCCCGAGACTAGCGAATGTTTACCCAATTATTATGCAATAGCAATAACCTGAACTTTCAGGATTACCGCTTTACAAGCATTCATCTAAGTCACCGTCTGAGTAAAGGTGTTCCGGAGACGTAGATTCTCACTGTGGCAGATGTCGGTAGAACAATTCTAGGTGCTGACTTCTATAGTCCTTTTTGGTCGACAGTAAAAAACGAAACTTCGACAGTCAACCACACGCCACTACACTGAGCAAAATACTTGACATCTAGCGAGTAAGATCAACAAATGATACCTTCATCAATAACCCAAGCTAGTGTGATCGACTAATGTGACGATGTCTCAAAGCATCAATTGACGTTACTTGGGGTTAAGCAAATATCTTTATTTTTCCAAACATTTTATCCTGAAAGCCTCAATAAATAAGTCTGTAGTAGAGAACACCAGAAGCATTTTTCTTTCAAACCCAAAATCAACTCTCGTCGCCTGACTTCGCGACTTTTGTTTTTTGGTGGTTTAAAGAGTGACAAGGTAGATTCATCATTTCAAACGGGTTTGGTTCTGTGAAGAGATGCTGTGCGTTATTCCTGTTTTTGGAACAAATTTCATATCAGATTTCTTTTCTCTAATATCTCCAACATAACGTATTTAAAAACCAATATCGTTCGAAAATATCATTAAATCTCAAGGCCCGGATATTTAGAGAAGTACTTAGAATGTTCTGTCACACGCGGTCGGTCTTAAAAACCGAGCATCTTTTATTTCTGTTTCGTCTCAAAATTCCTTCATGGAGGTAACGTCCAAACAAGAGAAGTCAATGATAAAGCATTTTAACCAGTGTATCTGTCTTGTTGATAAGAGCTGATAAAAAATTAACAAGATTAAATAAGGAGGTAAAAATATACACAAAAACGTGCGAAGTATCGAAACAATAAGCAATCCAATGGAGTGGAATAAGGTAGGATATGTTGATGATTAGAGATTCTGACATACTTCTGAACATGAAGGTAGGGCTGGTAAGCACAAACATGTCTTGCTTTATGTACGTTTATATTCACTCATTACACTAGAAAGCAAATGATCTGTAATGCCATACCTGAATTAATCTACCGGAAAAAATATGATTGCCTCGGCATTAACGCGGTATCAGACAAAACAGACCAGTATTGCGACTATCGGTTACTTAAGAGTTATTCTATGGATTACTGCTGCCACACATAGCTGGAGATATTCTGTTGGATGCTCAAGATTAATCAATTTGTTAAGTGCTGTATGAGGGGCCTTTTTTCTGTCTGTAGTCCAGCTAGAGTTGTAGCTGGTGATCACAGTGATCATTTAGTTTGTCCCCTAGACCATTAACTCAAGTATGCTTCACTGAACTAACTCTGACATATGCAACGCAATGTGACCGGCTCCTGGATGTGGCCGGATAGATATCTCGAATATTTTCAAAGGTGATTTGAGAAACCCAAAGTTCATTTGCTTTGAATAAGGTAGATCATATTCCTAACACTTTCACTAGAGGGAAGGTGTAAGACAGTGTGTAATGTTTAAGTACGATGATCAAATATCGCATACACAAGTACTTCTCAGTCCTAGTGGTTGCTTTAACCGTTCCACAATAACAAACTGTTTATCTCACAAAGCTTGGCGTATCTCAATTCACGGTGGAATATTTTGTTCTAATCAGTAGATTTCTTGATTTTGCCGTATGATAAACTTCTCAGTATATTTAATAAAAAATGGGAAACGGCTACACGCGTTTATAATAGCTTGAATCCTTTCTATCCAATTGGTTTAAAACTAGCAAGAGAACTGTTTTTTCAATTTTATGGGAGACTATGAGAACCAATTGTGTGTTTGTCTACTAGTTGGTAGATGATACCTATGATCCACTCTGGGATAGTTGATAATACATTTGACATTATTGCAGATATTGTCTGGATATTTCTCTTAACCACAGTCAAAACTGTAGCTGTGAAGTTTGATTTTTTTGTTCTAATCGATATTCATTTGCTTATTAAAAGTGTTCGTTAAGTGATTTGATGACTTCATAGACCGTCGGATTTAAGAAATGAAGACCTCCGACAACATTAGTCTCCCAACTTATACCCTTTCTACGTGCTATAAACCTACACGAATTTTTCGGATCTGACTGTGGTGGTTCTTCAGACTTGTTTTTCAACGTTATTTAACTGAGTGTATATCGTGCTAATGAAATTTGATTGATTTAAATGCAGTTCACTTTGCCTACCCATATAAAATGGTCTCGAAAATCTTCATTCAAGCCATATTTTCCTGATAAATCTATCAGACTACCAACCGAGTTGACATGGACCGAATCACTATCACATTTTTGATTGAACTTTTACAGTCTGACCTTGGTCAAAACTCGTTGAATATTTCAATTTGTTGATGAATGGTTTCAGAGAGTCAGTAATAAGGCATTTTTGACTAAACTCAGGGTTTCATAGTAAAGTAATTGTTAATCGTTACGCGATCATGCCATAAAGCTTTGCCAGTGTTACCCTGCTGGCCATTTTAGGCGTACACAATGTTTTGTCAAATGCCCAACGTTCAGTGTACATGTAACTTCATGTTTTCAACTTTATGATACGTGCGGTTAAGAACCAGTGTTCTTCAACTGTTACAGCAGTTTAACAGTATTTGTCAGTGTTCCAACAGACGCAGGTATGCTTTATCATGCTTGTTAATGTAATTTTATGTGGTATTAGTTAACTTCTCGTTCTTTCATGGTAGAGCGATGGTGGATTGGTTTTGCTGCAAATTTTTGAGTTCTCGTTATCCTAAACGATTAATTCGTTTCTTAGAGGTTGACCATTAGTTTTTCATGGTCAGTTAATACGTTGCTGCCA